CGACACTGTTAAAGAAGCAACCTATTGCCCTTACTTTCATGAGTAGTCTAATCGCAGTTAGTGAGCAAAAGCTTGTAGGATCAGACCCAGAGTTCCAAATTTTGAAATTTAATATTAATTGAGTACTTATATCATTGTAATTATCTGAGGAATGTGTAAACATTAATTTTTATCAACCTATTTTATTTTCATGTTATTTAAGTTTGTGACATTGTGAGGATTTTTTTCTCCCAAACAAATGGTTCAGTGCTTTTTTTTAGAAAATAAATAAATAAATAAATAAATCATTGCTAGCAGCCCAATACTTTTAGCCAGCCATATATTTTATAGAACAGAAAAATAAATTTGTTTAAGAATTATTTTAGGTACAAATGATTTATTTAATAAACAAATGTAAAAAAGAGCATTAATGTCTATAGTTTAATATATTTGGCACATAGAACAGTTTTGATCTGTGGATTTCAAAACATTACAAGTATTAGTAAGGATTACTATCCCCCATTTACACATGGAGTAGATAAAGCATAGAGACCATGTATACTCTATGAGAAAGATAGACACTACTGCAGTTGATCTTCCAGGGTTTGTTTTAGCGGGTCTAGTATAGTAAATTAGACCTTCCTTACCTCTCTCCTAGGTCTCAGAGGGCACCCCCATTGGCACCAGTATTCCCGCTCCTCACGAGGAGTAAGGGAAGCTGATGGGAGTGTTTGCTCCTGTCAGCCTCTCACTGTGTAGATGATATGGAAACACTATTTAAGATATACCAACTCCAGCTATATAATGAACATAGCTGGAGTTGCATATCTTAAATTAACCTTCTTCTGTAGAGTAAATCAGGTCAGAGATATTTAAATAACCATTCTAGGATTCTTCAGTATATTTTGCATTTTCATTTTCATTTGTATTGTGTTTGGGTTTAATATTGTATAGACAAGTGATGGTAATTAATCAAAGTAGTAGGCAAGTTAATGGGTAACATTTATTAGATTAGTCATTGTGGAGCATTAGTGGTTTATAAGACCGTTGGGAATGTATCAGGATTCGCAAATCTCATTCTTAATAAGATGTTAATATCCTTCACCTCACTATGATAATTCATCCTTGGAAAATTACATTTTTAAAGCACTTTGCAAATGACCATGTTGAACTCTCTTCTGACACAAGAGAAACAAATAAACTTAGGGAATTTAAATGAATTGTGCACAGTTGCACAAAAAAAGTCACGAGATCTGAATTTATAATTTGGGAGTTCCTACCTCTGTTACCTCCTGAGAAAAATTAGACTGTGCTAACCTCTCTCCTAGATCTTGTCTCATATTGTTGCACCAGTCTCAGGGACCAACAGTCCTGATATCTCCTCATTCAATATGGCTATTTCTACACTAAAAAAACGTGGTGGAGCATCCACACCTCAAGTGAGTTTTTGTGCAAGTAAATTGGCAGAACAGAGGGCTTTTGCCAGTAGAGTTATTCCTCTCCCCACAAGGAATAACTCCTTTTTGTGCTAGAGCTCTTGCGCAGGAAGGCTGGTGTGGATGCTCCAGAAGGGTTTTTTTCACAAGAAACCCCTATCGGCAAAAGCACAGGTTCTCTAATGGTCATTCTGTGAATGGCCATCAGAGCTTTCTTGCGCAGGAATGTCCGTGCAGTGTGGATGCTCTCTTGCACAAAAGCACATCACTTTTGTGATGTGCTTTGAGGTCTAGACGTGTTTTTGCGCAAAAAGATCTCTTCCACAAAAGGCTTCTTGTGAAAAAACCCTGCAATGTAGACAAAGCCTATATGATTTTTTATTTAGGTATATAGGCTTTATTTATGATTTTTTATTTCACCCATATTTGATTTTTAAGGTAAAATATTTGGAGAACAGAGATGACTTGGAATGTTTGAAATTATTTGCAGAAATGATTTTGAGTTCTGTCTTGATTTAGTTTAATGTAGAAGCTGGGAATGCATTTGTTTAATAACTGTTTTCTTTCCTTTGCTTGAGTGTTAAAACCAAATTCTTTAGTCAGTTTCATATGAAAGTGAAGATTTTGGTATCATTTTATGGTGGTCATCATTTTTAACAGGTTATGAAAAAAATAGTAAAATGCAGAAACCACTTCTTGGAAAGCTGTTTGTGGCTTACTTTTTGGAATGGGATCTGAATCACAGATCTGTATTAGTCACATTTATTCCAGTGAATACTTTTAGACATGAGAGCCCATAAGAAAAAGGGCCCTTAATGAATAAACAAATGTAGGAAAGAGCATTGTACCTAGTGTTAACTAGTTTTTAGGATTTTGTCGACACTGTTAAAGAAGCAACCTATTGCCCTTACTTTCATGAGTAGTCTAATCGCAGTTAGTGAGCAAAAGCTTGTAGGATCAGACCCAGAGTTCCAAATTTTGAAATTTAATATTAATTGAGTACTTATATCATTGTAATTATCTGAGGAATGTGTAAACATTAATTTTTATCAACCTATTTTATTTTCATGTTATTTAAGTTTGTGACATTGTGAGGATTTTTTTCTCCCAAACAAATGGTTCAGTGCTTTTTTTTAGAAAATAAATAAATAAATAAATAAATCATTGCTAGCAGCCCAATACTTTTAGCCAGCCATATATTTTATAGAACAGAAAAATAAATTTGTTTAAGAATTATTTTAGGTACAAATGATTTATTTAATAAACAAATGTAAAAAAGAGCATTAATGTCTATAGTTTAATATATTTGGCACATAGAACAGTTTTGATCTGTGGATTTCAAAACATTACAAGTATTAGTAAGGATTACTATCCCCCATTTACACATGGAGTAGATAAAGCATAGAGACCATGTATACTCTATGAGAAAGATAGACACTACTGCAGTTGATCTTCCAGGGTTTGTTTTAGCGGGTCTAGTATAGTAAATTAGACCTTCCTTACCTCTCTCCTAGGTCTCAGAGGGCACCCCCATTGGCACCGGTATTCCCGCTCCTCACGAGGAGTAAGGGAAGCTGATGGGAGTGTTTGCTCCTGTCAGCCTCTCACTGTGTAGATGATATGGAAACACTATTTAAGATATACCAACTCCAGCTATATAATGAACATAGCTGGAGTTGCATATCTTAAATTAACCTTCTTCTGTAGAGTAAATCAGGTCAGAGATATTTAAATAACCATTCTAGGATTCTTCAGTATATTTTGCATTTTCATTTTCATTTGTATTGTGTTTGGGTTTAATATTGTATAGACAAGTGATGGTAATTAATCAAAGTAGTAGGCAAGTTAATGGGTAACATTTATTAGATTAGTCATTGTGGAGCATTAGTGGTTTATAAGACCGTTGGGAATGTATCAGGATTCGCAAATCTCATTCTTAATAAGATGTTAATATCCTTCACCTCACTATGATAATTCATCCTTGGAAAATTACATTTTTAAAGCACTTTGCAAATGACCATGTTGAACTCTCTTCTGACACAAGAGAAACAAATAAACTTAGGGAATTTAAATGAATTGTGCACAGTTGCACAAAAAAAGTCACGAGATCTGAATTTATAATTTGGGAGTTCCTACCTCTGTTACCTCCTGAGAAAAATTAGACTGTGCTAACCTCTCTCCTAGATCTTGTCTCATATTGTTGCACCAGTCTCAGGGACCAACAGTCCTGATATCTCCTCATTCAATATGGCTATTTCTACACTAAAAAAACGTGGTGGAGCATCCACACCTCAAGTGAGTTTTTGTGCAAGTAAATTGGCAGAACAGAGGGCTTTTGCCAGTAGAGTTATTCCTCTCCCCACAAGGAATAACTCCTTTTTGTGCTAGAGCTCTTGCGCAGGAAGGCTGGTGTGGATGCTCCAGAAGGGTTTTTTTCACAAGAAACCCCTATCGGCAAAAGCACAGGTTCTCTAATGGTCATTCTGTGAATGGCCATCAGAGCTTTCTTGCGCAGGAATGTCCGTGCAGTGTGGATGCTCTCTTGCACAAAAGCACATCACTTTTGTGATGTGCTTTGAGGTCTAGACGTGTTTTTGCGCAAAAAGATCTCTTCCACAAAAGGCTTCTTGTGAAAAAACCCTGCAATGTAGACAAAGCCTATATGATTTTTTATTTAGGTATATAGGCTTTATTTATGATTTTTTATTTCACCCATATTTGATTTTTAAGGTAAAATATTTGGAGAACAGAGATGACTTGGAATGTTTGAAATTATTTGCAGAAATGATTTTGAGTTCTGTCTTGATTTAGTTTAATGTAGAAGCTGGGAATGCATTTGTTTAATAACTGTTTTCTTTCCTTTGCTTGAGTGTTAAAACCAAATTCTTTAGTCAGTTTCATATGAAAGTGAAGATTTTGGTATCATTTTATGGTGGTCATCATTTTTAACAGGTTATGAAAAAAATAGTAAAATGCAGAAACCACTTCTTGGAAAGCTGTTTGTGGCTTACTTTTTGGAATGGGATCTGAATCACAGATCTGTATTAGTCACATTTATTCCAGTGAATACTTTTAGACATGAGAGCCCATAAGAAAAAGGGCCCTTAATGAATAAACAAATGTAGGAAAGAGCATTGTACCTAGTGTTAACTAGTTTTTAGGATTTTGTTTACAGAACTATTTATTAATTATATTTTACCAACATGCTTATCATGTAACTGTTGACATTCAAGTCAATAAAACATTTTTTAACAATCAAAATGTGTAAACTAATTGCTATTCATTTTCCTTCCTTAAAACATCTTTGATTTAGGAGCAAAGGCTTTTAATTGTACTCAGTAACTGCCGCTACCTGGAACGTCATACTTTCATAAATATAGCTGAACACTTTGAGAAACACAGCTTCCAAGGAGTTGAAAAAATAACTCAAGTAAGCAAGACTATTAAAATGCAATTTTCACAGAACTATCGTTACTTTGGGTGGAAATATTTTTTCTTTTCACAGGTATTAAATTAAGTATTTGTACAATCACCCAAAATAAAAATTCCTCCTACAAGTGAGTGGGACTTTAAGCATTAGTTTAAAGGAACAATAATAGCAGCAGTAGTAGTAGTAAAAATAATCTCTCTTTGTGTTGAAATAAGTGGTGTAAAGTAGTATAGCAAATGTGAGTACTTGTTAAAGATTTCTATATTCATAGGCAATGTTTATCTGATTTCTAAGTAACGCTTTTTAATGTCACTGTGTTTTCTTGATGCAAAGAATAAAAAGATCATCATCTCAAAATACACTTGATAGATTAAATAATCTAGTAATCTCTACCACTGACAGCTCTTGTTCATAAACCAGATCAGGGATTTTTTTTCAAAGAACGAAAATGTCAAGGTGGGCGGCTATAGATGTCTCATTTTCCTGCCTTTTTGTAATGATTAATCATTTTTTATGAGAAATGTTATGACTGAAAATCTTTATGGCCATATAGTTGGTTTATTTCCAGAAATGTTTGTTGTTTGAAAGTAAAATGTTATCTCTTCCAGTACAGAGTATTTCTGTACAAACTTGTGCTTCTACTATATAATGAACTCTCATAACCCTTCCAATGAATGTACTTCAGCTTTTGTGGGTGGAGTAATTTTGAATACATTCAGGTGGAGTTTGAAATGATTTGCATTGTTAGTATAGTACACAAAATTGCTGCAGATATCTCCTTTCATGCTCAACTATCCTGAAATGCTTAATAAAAGGCTGAGTTAGGGACTAGTAGGGTTGCCTGGTGACTTTGTAAGCAAATGAGGAGTTCATTATATATTCAGCAATAGATCTGGAACAGCCACATTAAAGCATTGTTCTTAAAATCTGGTATTTTTATAAAAAAGAAAATTCAAACATTGAAATCACTGAACAGTTTTATATCTACATTAACCCTTTGATGACTGGGGATAATGCAATACTGTATATACAGTACACATACCAGGTGGTATTCATCCCAAGAGTTCAGAAGGAACTCAGATGTGAAATTGCAAAACTACTTTCTGTAGTATGCAACTCATTGCTTAAATCTTACTCTGTATCAGATAACTGAAAAATAGCTAATGTCACATGGATTTAAAAAAAAATAGATTATGGAAGTGATTCCTGGCAATTACAGACCAGTAAGTATAACTTCAATACCAATCAAGCTATTAAAACTATAGTAAAGAATAGACTTATCAGACACAGTGATGAACATTATGATCGGAAAGTGTCAATACAGCTTTTGAAAAGGAAAATCATGCCTCACCAATCTATCTGAATTTTTTGAGAATATCACAAGTGTGTGGACAAAGGTGATCCAGTTGAAATAGTATACTTGGACTTTCAGAAAGACTTTGGCAAGGTCCCACACGAGAGATTCTTAATTAAAGTAAGCAGTTATGATCATAAGGAAGGTCCTCTCAAGGATCAATAAGTGTTAAAAGAAGAAAAAAATGTAAGAGAAAAGGTAAAGAATAAATGGAAAGAGATATATATATATTGGAGATTTCTGATCTGTCTTGGGACCTGTGCTTTTCAATATGATCTGGAAAAGGGGTTAAACAGTGAGGTAGTGAAGTTGCAGATAATACAAAATTACCAAAGACGGGACCAAAGCTAACTGTAAAGATTTTCAAAGGGATCTCACAAAACTGGATCACTGGGCAACAAAATGGCAGATGAAATTTATTGTTGATAAATGCAAAGTAATTCACATTAGGAAAAATCCAACTATTCATATGAAATTATGTGCTCTAAGTTATGTGTATTATTTAAAAAGATCTTAGTCATGATGGATTGGTCTATGAAAACAGCTGCCCATTGTGCTGCAGTAGTGAATAAAGCTAACTGTGTTAGGAAAGGAATATATAATAGATAAAATATCACAATGATGCTAAATAACTCCATTGTACACCCACACCTTCAGTGCCGTATGCATTGGGGTTGTCCCGTTTCAAAAAAATTATTAGAATTTGAAAAGGTACAGAAAAGGGCAACAAAAGCGATTAGGGCTATGGGACAGATACCATGTGAGGAGAAATTAAAGAGGATTATTTTAGAATGGAGAAAATAGAAGGGGGTTATGATAGAGGTCTATACAATAATAAATAATGAGGTAAAAGAATATAGAAAAGTGTTATTTATCCCTTCACATAGCATAAGAACCAGCGATCACTTTATAAGACAGTACATTTTAAATGAACATAACAAAGTAATTCTTCATGCAACGTATAGTCAACATGTGGAATTTGTTACAATGGAAAGTTGTAAAGGCTAAAAGTATAACTGGATTCAAAAAAGAATTAGATAAATTCATGGAAGATAGACCTGTCAATATCCAAAGCTAAGGTGGCTGGGTACACAGCCCCATGCTTTGAATGTTCCTGAAACCCTGATTGCCAGAAGCTGAGACTGACTGAGAGGGGATGAATTACTCAGTAATTGTCCTATTCATTCCTTCTCAAGCATCAGGCCCTGGCTATTATCAGAAGAAAGAATACTGACCTAGCAGAGCTGTTATACAAATTTTCATGGGTGATTATGAGCAACATACGAGTCCTAGATGAATAGTTATATTGTCCTCTTAAGAGTTCATTTGACAGCCAGTTTAGAAAACAACTGTTTTCTAGCATTGAGTATTAATTGAATAACATTAAATATTTAGTATTAAGTACCAAACAGATAACTTGTAGGAAGTCAGGCAACAATGTTGCTATTGCCCAAATATAATGAAAGAAGATATAATAGTATTTTGGCAGTTGTAGTTTTGGGGAGTTGCTGTGTCCACGAATTCCTCATGGACAGACTAGAGGTCAGATCATCATGATAATCCTATCCCTTCTGACCTTAAAAATCTATGAGCTGACTTGTCTAAACATATTTCCATGTGAATGCCGTCAGGCATTCTACATTTACAGTCTCTTTTCTTTTTTCTGATTATTCCAAGCACCTTCAGATAGTCTTTGATATCACTTGTAATAGGTTTACGTAGATTCATTATCACATGCAGTGTTACTTGTGGCCATTCAAGAGTGAGTCCCAATAAACAGAAGTGTAGGAAGTGATAGTATACTGACAAATCTCCTGTAATTAAGTAGAATTGCATACTGTAGTACCATAGACAAGCTTAAATAGGGGAAACCAGCAACCACAGCCCGTAACCTTATTCTTGCACAATCTCACTGCCAAATTTAGGGAATGTACCATACTGCATTGTACATGTAATCATTTAATTCCAAGGAGGAGTTACACACATCTTAAAATATTATGCGCTTTTTATTGGAAACCTGCCAAGGCCCTGACAGGGTTTTCAGCTTAACAGTTCTAGGAAGTACAAAATAGCTCCTGACTTCAGTGGAAGTTAACTGGAGTTCAGATTACAACCCAGTTACCATTATCTTCTTAATTGGCCCAAAATATTTCATTTTAAGGTGGAAATAGTGTAAACTTTTCTGTTTACAAAAAAGTACTATTTTTATAATAAAGACCAGATGATTCACTAATTGCAGCGATGGTAACCTTATTGCCAAATGTTATCAGTTGGATTGATTTCAAGATGCTCCTTTTTTATAAATTAGTGAGGTTATTAATGCTTCATTCTGAGGAATTCCTTTATGTATCAGACACTTAAGGAGGGCTTTTCCTTTCAGTGGACATTCAAGCAGCCCTAAATTATAATATGTTCATTGTCCATAAATTATTAAAGTTAAATTACTTGATCACTTGACCACTGTTTTAAAAACTTGTCTCTGATGCACAAATTTTATAACACTGAGGGCCATATTGACAGTTTCCCAAGATCCTGAGTGCCACCACTAATTTGTGCATATATACATACGGGCTACATCTACAGTACACCCCTCTGTTGGCAGAGGGACGTAAATAAAGCACATCAAAAGCGCAAATAAAGCAGGGATTTAAATATCCTGCGCTTCATTTGCATAATTGCGTTCTGGCACTGTTTCTGTATGGCACGGGATATTTAAATCCCTGTTTCTTTTGCACTTTCGATGTGTTTTATTTACATCCCTCTGCCAACAAAGGGGTGTAGAGTAGACATGGCCACAGAAACTCCGTCTCTCTCTGTCTGTCTCAATTGAAGATGAATATGCTCATCTTTCTTGTGGAGTCTTGTAAGTGTACATAGTGCTTTCCCCAAATCACATAGACCCAGACTTGAACTTTTGAGGACTCCAGAAGTGGGACGGCATTTCTGCTGGAGAATTCATTGATGAGAACCAAACACACAAGGCATTCAACAAAAATCCAAGGTTTAAAAACAAACCAAAACAGTACTGGATATGGAAAGGATAGAGGCAAACAAACAACATCCAGAGTCAGTGAAGGCTTGAAGAATGAAGATGAAGGCAGAATGAATTAATTCTTAAGAAAGTGGGATTAGGATTTGTTGCTCCATAATTAAAATAACATGAATTTCCATTATAAACTCAACTCCTCCATGTCTGCACCTTATGAGCCACACTAAAAATGTATATCTACCTTATAATTAGTGGTTTTCATTATTGTTGTATCTGTGTTACTTCCTGGATATGAGAAAGGGAAGGTGGGTAAAGTAATGTCCTTCAGTACTGATCTTTAGAGCTATACAGTTTCTCTTTCCCCAACAAAAGGTGGTCCAATTACAGTTATTACCCTCACTCACCTTGTGTGACTCATATTCAGCAGATTAGATCTGGTGTTGAGAGAATTTTTCTATATAATATGAAATTGAAATGGGCCAAGAGCTAGGTATTTTGTACTCAAAACAAATCCCACCAGAAATCAGAAAAATATTGAGCTATGGGTTTTATGCACAAGATCAAACCTTTATCCTTTAGATTCTTAATTTTCTAGCTTTTGAATTGGATCATCAATAGGAGTGACTGATGGGCTTGAAGATAGAGATCATAGTTTATATTTTAAAATAAGTAAATAATTATTCCTTTTCCTTATAGAAATAAAGCTGAAAATGTAACCTCTTAGGAAAATTGGCAGGGTGGAAGATTTTTCCACTAAAAGATTCATAAAGGAGTCTGCTAATCCTAAGACTCACATGGGTACGAGCAGGAAGAGGGTGGGGTAGGACTTAATGACAGTTCTCCATTTGACAGATCTTAGAAGTGCCACAGGATGTGGGTAGTGAGGAGGAAGGGAATTGCATCCCTGACCTTTTCTTGAGGGCAAAGTTTCACTGCCCTCCTGAATGCTCCCCTCCTGCTGATCTCCTGAGCTCCTTTCTATGATCCTTCCTGATTCTCAGCTCATTTCTGAGAAACCTCAGGAGGTTTACCAGGTGGAAAAAGCAGGAAAGTCCTATTGTATTCTGCTCCTGTGCATCAGTTTCTCTAATTGGACTCCTCTGCTACTGTACACCTTCATGCCCCTCACCAATATAGATACTTTCTCCCATATTAACATTTCCCTCCAGAATTCCTGTTTCTTTCCTCATATCTTGCTCAAGAGACCTTCTCTCACCACCCTTAAGACGCAATGATTTGTGATTAGAGTATTCAGGAACAGCTTGGGGGGGGGGAGGTAGAGCAACAGAAGCATCAGTTTGTCCTCCTTGCTTCAATCAATGAATCATCAAGTGGTTTTCAGTGTGGTGATTCCTATCTGATAAGTCTCCATGGGAAGAAGATAGTGAAATGCTAGGGGGATTTTCTCCCTGCCCTTCTGTTCTGGATTAGTCTTCAGCCTTCTCTCACCTGAATCCCTCTCATCCTGAAAGTCCCTAAACTGCACAGTGACTGAGAAAAGTGAAGAGTGACATTTAAAAGGTTTTACCTTGAAATCTGATAAGCTAATAAACATAAATATATTTAACAAGCAATCTCATGTGTTTTCTGCATGACTTGTTTTAGTAGCATTCATGATGATACCAGGATATTAACTTTCTACTACTTTTGGTGTTGTCTACATTTCAAGTTTCATGTTATGTTCTGGAATTGCTTTAAAAAATGTAACTTCCTTAACTAGTTACTTTAAAATGAAAACACTTGTACAGTAATGAAAGAGGTGCAGTCTTTAAATACAACAAACAAGTGAAACGTACACATTCGTGTATCTCATTGACTAATCTTTTTATAAGTGTTTCATGGTTTAGTTACTTTCTTTGGAAGTTTCAGTAACTCTGATGCTTATATTTAGCAGTACTCACACAAAGGAAAGAAGAGCACATTCTTGCTCCATACTATCCACAAAAGAGCTGCAGCTTATTGTTTTGTTGTACAAGGAACTTTTAATGCTTGCAATGGTGGTGGCTGCCCTGCTAACCAGGGCAAGGGGGACTCCAACCCACAATCCCAGGCTCCAGAGGCTGATGCCATATCCATTAGGCCAGTGGGACCCATCTCATTTGCCCTCCCTGTCTTCCGCGGATGCCCTGCTAGCAGGCGACAGATCTCTGTAATGAAACTGAATTTTTTAAAAGAATTAAACTCAATATATAGTGATTTTTTTAAAAAAATCCACAAGTACATTAGGTGGTTTAAAAATATGGTGAAGGATTTAAGTATTCATCTTTCAGGACCTGAGCAAATAATGTAAGGCTTGATCCTGCTCCTTTTGAAGTCACTGGCAAAATTCCCATTGTCTTTGATGATGCGGGATCAAAACCTAAGTGACAGTGTTAGGATTAAATTTTGTTTATGGGCAGGTTATTCCGTGATTCTCCGCGATGGAGTTTCTTACATCATTTTGTGAAGCATCTGGTACTGGCCATATTCAGAAAAAGTATCCTGGGCCAGTTTGCTCAGTAATGTGATCCAATATCAAAATATTGTTTTTATATTTTTAAAATTATAAGGTTGTAAGCATATAGCATATTTCCTAAAAGTCAAAGAGAAGATAAGCCATACATTGGTAGCTTTTATTCTGGCTTTCATAAGTAGTGGATAAATGTGCTTTTTTCTCTTTTTGCTTTGATTTTAGATTAGTATGGAATCCTTAAAGGAGTTGGATCTAAGACTGTTTGAAATTTACATTGAATTGAAGGCAGATCCTATAGTTGGCTCACTAGAACCTGGCATTTATGCAGGATATTTTGATTGGAAAGATTGTCTCATTCCAACAGGTACATATCTGTTTAATAACTAACTGTATAATTATTCTAACAGAGGCTTAGATAACTTGAAATATAAAAATCTGATGTTTAATTACAAGCTGTTTTCTCTTTTTATTTTTCTTAACATTTTCCACGATCTTGTTTAAAGTTGTATTTCAGTGGCTTACTTTACAATTCCTTCTTTTTTAAATTCCCTCAAATGAGCATAGCATTTTTATCATTGATGTTTTAATGCTTGTTTTCATGATTATTTTGCTTCACTGCTAAAGTATAATGGAATGATTATGAAAGACATTTTTGCCTTTTTTCTTTTGAAATTCATAGTGATTTTTTGGAATTCTTTTGTAAAGAATCTGGTCATACTTCTAACAGCTCTATCTGTAATTCTGAAAAGGTGAAAGTTATAAGAAAATGTGTGGGTGTAGCATTATAACAGTAGCTCAGTAAGGAATAAAAATTATAGAAGGATGTATAGATTCCAGTGCCAAAAGGGTCCATTGTGATCCCCAAAATAGTACCGTTAGCATATCTTAAATAAAAATCCAATCTTGATTTGAAAATTACTGCTGAGGGAGACTCTACTGTGAGTTCTTGGTAAATAGCTTTGATGGTTTATTATCCTCAGTTTAAAATGTTCCCCTTATTTTTCATCTGAATTTGTCCAGCTTCAGGTTCCAACCTTTGGATCATGTTATGCTTTTCTTTTGCTAGTCTGAAGAGTCTATTATCAAATATTTATTTCCCATGCAGGTAAATCATTGGCTGTATTCAAGTCACTGCTGAAACTCTTCTTATTAAGCTGAATAGATTGAGCTCTTTGTGTCGTATCACTATAAGGCATATTTTCTGATTATTTAATCATTCTGATTATAATTAATACAGATGCAATGATTTTAATTGCCAAGGTTTTTCAAAAGTCACTAATGATCTTGTGTGCTTCCATTTTGGGGGCATTCCTTTGGGCATCCCCTGAGACACTTTTTAAAGAGTGTATCTTCAGTACTTTCTGAAAACCAAGTCCCTTCAGGATATCCTCAAGAATAAGGCACTCAAAATCATTGGTCGGTTTTGAAAATCTTGGTCAATATCTAATGAAAACCAGTTGTAAGCAATGGACTGAGCACAGATTAAAAAGTGATTGATAATAGTGCTGTTTGGATTTTCTTTTTCTCTTTTTTTCTTTTTTTTTGGGGGGGGCTAAGTTATATTAATTTTGTATAAAACTTGAAGACTTTGTAGGACTTTTTAGTAGTTTAAACTTTGACAATAACAGGAAATTATAATCTCATCTATGAATCAGGAGTTTTACTAGCTGTTCACTGAGCCCTGGAACCTACAGGGTCATAGGGTTCTCTCCCTATGTGTCATTTGTAGCATTGCTGTATTCAGGACATTGGTACTAGTATAGTTTATTGAGCAAATGACTTGGTTTGGACTCTTGCAAACTAAGATTTGTTAAATATGTAAAATAAAATTGTGGCTGATCACACTTGGGGTGTGTTATATTTGATATTACTGTAGGTCGTCCAAGCAGCAGATGGAGAAAAGGTGGGGGGGGGGGATTTGTGATACCATACCCCTACAATGGAATGGACCTGTAGATGCTCACTTCTTAGCTTTTTCTAGCACACAGTGCCCCACTTTTGGCTGACAAAGCTCAGTGCTTTTCGGTGTCTGTGGAGGGGAGGGTGGAATTACTGAGTTCTACATTAGAGTGAGCTGCTTTCCATCCTTTTTCTGCAACTCGCACAGAGCCACCGACAGAAGGGTGGGGGACAAATGAGGCTGCTGCCCAGGTCCCGTAGGCCCCAGGCCCTTTAAATCACTGTCAGAGCCTACCCCTTCTTGAAAGCACAGAGGTAGACCTTCTCCCACCTTGCCATGGGGCTCGACAAGTCTCTCTGCAGCCCTGAACACTCATATTAGAGAAGGCCAGGTCTCTTTAGAGTCAGGGATAATCCCGAAGGTGAACAGACCCCCCATAAAAGTATCCTGTCTCCTATTTTACTAGACTGACTGCTGGAAGTGTTAAGAAATGTACAGTCATTCCTCCTTCACCCACTCCAACTCAGTGGATCAGCATGTTGTTGTGAGTTTCACCCACAACCGTAATTTATTTATTGTGAGGTTTTTTTGCTAGCAAATAATTTTGTATTCTTTCTGGAAAAGTAGGCCATATTTACTGTTGGCATGAGAAGGTGTTACTCTGACTTAGGAGTTGATGAGGAAAAATGCCCTCTTGGAGATGGAGAAGAATGCATAGATAATAGGAACTCAAAAAAGAGAAGCTGTCCCTAAAAGGACTCATGAATACTTAACATATCCACCTTTCAAATGTAAACATCTTCTAACTTACACACTGTAGATTTTTCAATAACAGTAGTGGCTATTTTTTTTAAATCAGCAATGCCAAACAATACTGAGAAAATAAGAGCCTCATGAAAACCTGAAAGAGGAGTAAACACCCATAGTACTGGAACATACCAGTCTGAGAACCTTTCTTTTTGCCACTTACAACGTATTTAATACTTTCCAGTTAATATCCAGGTATGGGATTTTTTTAACAAAAAGCCTGCTTGATTAGAATAAAATAACAGTATCTAGTTGACTAGGAACTTAAAGACAAGACTAAGTAAGCAGTTCCATTATACTGAATCATTAAAAAGTCCAGTTAATCTGGTGATTCATGAGAGAAATTATTTGTGAAGCCATCATGGTACTTTTCAAATACCACATCTGGTTGAAATTAATATCTACTCTTAAAAGTAATCTTTTACTAATGCAAGTTTAAAAATTTGAGTCATTGAACTGGGTGTGTCGATTTTAACTATTTTACCCAGAATTGTCACAAAAGTTGATGCCATTGGTAGGGAAGGAAGGAAACTTCAGCAGGGCAGAATAGCAGAGGGGAAATGGTCTGAAGTGAAGAGGATGAAATTCAATAAAGACAAATGTAAACTATTCTCTTTAGGAAGGAACATCAGTTGCACACATACAGAATGGATAATACCTAGGAAAGAGTACTGCAGAAAGGGTTCTGGGGGTGATAGTGTATCACTAGCTAACTATGAGTCAACAGTGTAATACTGCAAAAAAAAACCGGTATAATCATTCTGGAATGTATTAACAGGGCTGTTGTAAGCAAGACACAATTCTTCCTCTCTAATTTGCACTGATTAAGCATCAGAGTATTATGTCCAGTTCTGGGAGCCACATCTGAATAAGTGGGCTATACCCACAAAAGCTCATGATATCATCTACATGTTTCGTTAGTCTGTAAAGTGCTACCAGACCATTTATTGTCTAGAAAACTACATGATTAACCGATTAGCCTCTCTAACTTCAGCTGATGCCATCTCCAGCTCTGGGGAAGCTAGTGTTGGCTGCCCATCTGCTTCAGGGTTGTGGGAAGACTTGAACCCAAAGTCCCATGCTCAGGAGGCTTGCTCTGGAGCTGTACTTGGCCTGGCTCAAGCACACAGCCAAGGTGGGCCATGTAGTGGCGGAGCACAGCCCTAGAGCAAGCAGCCTGTCCCACCCTTGCCAGCTTCCTCCCCTCCTTGCTGTCTCTGTATCAGAGGCAGCATCACAGTGGGGGTGGGCAGCGGAGGCTGCTCCACATACCACAGAGCAGCCTTTGTCCGCAGCAAGCCTGGCCTCACCGCGGACAGAGGTTGTTCCGCGGCAGCAGCCCCCTGGACAGAGCAGCCTCTGTGTGCAAGACACTTGGACACCCAACCTCCCCCATAGACAGGGCCTGCTGCCACCCTGCGCTGCTGCCTCTGTATCAGTTACACGATAATTAACATCCTTACCACATTTCAGGAACAACAAATTGGAGAAAGTTCCAAGAAGAGCAGTAAAAGCTGTTAAAGGTCTAGCAGACATGACCAATTACGAAAGATTGAAGAAATTGGATTAGTTTAGTATGGAAAAGGAAAGACTGAGAGGGGACGTGAAAGAGAAAAGTTATTCCCCTTAACCTCTGAAGATAGGATAAGAAGTCATGGGCTTAAACTTCAGCAAGAGAGGTTTAGGTTGGACATTAGGAAAAGCTTCCTAACTATCAGAGTAGTTAAGCACAGAATACATTTTATCTAGGGAGGTTGTGGAATTTCCATCACTGGAGTTTTTTAAGAGGAGATTAGGTAGACATCTGTCAAGGATTATGCACATAGTATTTAGTCCTGCCACAAGTTCAGGTCTCTGGACTAGATAACCTATTGAGGTCCCTTCCAGTACTCTGATAAATAGTAAGGAAGGAATCAGGCCTTAGGCATATCAAAATGAATATAAGAACAGCCATACTGGGTTAGACCAACGGTCCATCCTGCCCAGTATCCTGTCTGCCAACAGTGGCCAATACTAGATGCCCCAGAAGGAGGGAACACAACAGGTAATCCTCACGTGATCCCTCCCCTATCACCCACCTCCAGAGAAACAGAGGCTAGGGAAACATTCCTACCCATCCTGGCTAATAGCCGTTGATGGACCTAGCCTCCATGAATCTATCTAGCTATTTTTTGAAACCTGTTAAAGTCCTCGCCTTCACCACATCCTCTGGCAAGGAGTTCCAGAGGCTGACTGTGTGCTGAGTGAAGAAAAACTTCCTTTTGTTTGTTTTAAACCTTCTTTTTTCTTCTTAAACCCTTGTACTCCGAGTGGAGCATAGATCATCTACAAGTCTCCTCCACTTCACTCTGTCTTGAGACAAATCTTCCAGCTGACTCCAGGGTACCCCAGTTGTTGTCCTTCAGTCTGCCGCCTTTTAATTTCATTTGGTGACTCCTTGTTCTTATATTGTGGGAATAAGTAAATAACTTTTCCTTATTTACTTTTTCCACACCAGTCATGATTTTATAGACCTCTATCATATCCTTCCCTTAGTCTCCTCTTCTCTAAGATGAAAAGTCCAAGTCTTTTTAATCTCTCTTCATATGGGACCCATTCCAAACCCCTAATCATTTTTGTTGCTCTTTTCTGAACCTTTTCCAATGCCGCCTTTTTTT